TTGCAGTTAACACTTAAAGAAATCATTGCTGGTGTTAGTTCATTTGCTTACTCAGTAGAATGCTGCTTATTTACAAATTTGTTATGCACTTTAAGAGAAAAGTGGTTGGTGTGTTACTGTATAGGAAAGGTGTGAAGGTCCTTGAAGCTCACTATGATCACTGTAGACACAAAATACTGAGTGATTGTTTGATTAAAGTGAGATTAGTTGCAGTGGAAACGTGCACTGAGTAATGAGGAGGGGACCAAACATAATTCTGTACAACACTGCCTATAGCAAAACATAAAACTGTACCCAGATAATGATTGGTTCTGGACTAGATTTTTTCTTCAGAGGAGAGGGGTCAGTGGATTTCTTTTTAGGCAGTTGCCTAAAAACATCTACTCAGAGCTAATTATAAGTTTTTTAAGAAGTCACAAATTGTTTTAGCGAAGGAAAAGAGGAGAAAAGAGGCTTGGAAATGCTATAAGTTCCCATCTTGAATATTGTGTGCCATTTTGAATCCTATTCCAAGATTTAGCAGAAGAGAAAAGCACATAGAAGAATGACATGTGGAATGTCTTCTGGAAGAAGAAAGGGCAATTGGATTGGGACTGAGCTTTTTGGAGAAAGGTTGTACTGAAAGGGGTGAAGGAAATGAAAAATCACAGGGTTGTAGAGGTTGGAAGGGACCTCTGGAAATCTAGTTCAATTTCATGCTAAAGCAGGTTCTTACAGCAGGTTGCACAGGAGGCTGTCCAGACAGGTCTTGAATCATGTTAGAGAAGGAGCCTCCACAACTCTCTGGACAGCCTGTATCAGTGCTCCATCATCCTCAAAGTAAGGAAGTTCTTTCTCATGTTCAGATGGAACTTCCTGTGTTCCTCTTTCTGCCCGCTGTTCCTTGTTCTATTGCTGCATGTCACAGAGATGGTTCCACCCCCATCTGCTTGACTCCTACACTTCAGATATTTATAAACAGTAATGAGATCCTCTCTCAGCCTTCTCCAGGCTGAATAGTCTGAGGTCACTCAGTCTTTCCTCATATGGGAAAGGCTCCATGCCACTCATTCACCTCCACTGGACTCTCTCTAGGAGATCTGTCTCCCTTGAACCAGCAAGCCCAGAATTGGACACAGCACTCCAGATGTTATTTCACCAGGACAGAGGAGAGGGGAAGTTTCACCACCCTAGACCTGCTGGCCAAGCCTTTTTTTTTTTTTTTGGATACTGTTGGCCACCTGGCCAGAAGAGCATGCTGCTGTTTCATATCTCATGGCCAACCTGTTGTTCACCAGGACATTCATGTCCTTCTCTGTAGGTGGATGTTGCAGAATTTACTGGGGGAAAAAATAATTGGAAGACAAAAGCATAGTGGTCTTAGCAGTAAGCTGGGCAGTTTCATGGTGGATGATGATTTGAATACTTGGCTTTAGGAGCATGCTCTGGTAACGGACTTGCAAATTCTAGGAATCCATAAATTTCTTGTGGATAGTGTTGAGAAAATACTGAAATCACACCTTCCATCTTATACTCATTCCTCAGGGATTTGACACAGCACCTTGTTGGGCTATGGATGCAAAACTAAACTTAAGAATTTGGGAGACTAACAGTAAAGCAAATCCAGTTTAGAGTGGAGCCTGGGATTTTAACTAGTAGCTGTGTTACTTGTTTTGAACTCATTGTGTTTATCTAGAAGATTCCTGGCATCAGGTATTTTGATTGTTATCCCCTTCATACTTTGAAGAGATGGCTTTTTTGTGCAATCCTTGTCTTCTCTAGGACGGATGAGGATGTTACCTTTGCTATTCTACCCTTTTTTCAACTCCCACATTTTGTGTCTGCCTTCCTTTTTGAAAGAGACCAGTTCCTTTCCTATCTACTGCCCATTACTTTTACTTTTCTTCTAAGAGCAGCTGCATGAAAATGGTGACTGTTAACAGGTTTTGATTAGAAGCAGCAAAACAAAGCATTCCTGTTAATATCAATTTTGTCCATATGGTGAGGCTTTGAGCGGTAGTATGTCTTCACCTTTAAGATGGTCATGTGAATGTTAATTAACTTAGTTGCAAAAAAAAAAACAACCCACAAAAACTTTCCAACTGCAACTATGAACTGTTTATTTTTTAAACATAGCTCTGCATTCAATGATGTAACCTTTACCTGTTGATGTCTATCACGAAGCTCTGCTTTACATCTCTGAGCTGTTTCTTTGCTTTTAAGGACTGAATGTCAAAGAAACTGTCCCCTACGCTTCAAGGTGTAGAACACCAGACATGCAGTGCTAGTAACAAATGCTAATTGAACTTCTCTTAAGTCTGTCAGTGGAAAAAATCTCCCTCATGTCTTGTAAACACACTTAAGACAATTACATGGAAACTGAAAGCCCATCGGCTTTAGAAACAGCACTTCAGCACAAGCTAAATATCCCTTTTTCCACTGAACTGCAGCTGTCCCTTGTTTGTGGTTTGGAACTAACTATTGACAAGTGTGGACAAAATTTACAGAAAAACCTGAAACATCTCTTGCCCATTCAAAAAGCATGAAAAGTGTGTGGTGTTTATATCTTGGTCTCTCTTGCCAAATTTTCTGCTGCTTGAGTACATCCTTAGCAGTATAAGTTGTGAGCAAAGATCTACTCAAAGCTCTTATGCAAGTTTATTGACTTAAGGATATTTTTTTGGTGGGTGGTGTTTTTTTTTTAGTTCAGTCTTCTCTGTTGCACTCTCTGGTTCTCTACCTTTTCTGTCCTTGCCATCACGAAAAGCAATAAAATTGATATATCAAGGTTTAGAAATCATGTTTGCTTTAATTCATATTTCCTATGGAAAAACAAACTGTTGCAGACAGTGATGCAATTTCATCCCATTTTCCTAAAGAAACATGGGGTAACAGTATTGTTTGTGCACATCTCCTTTGAAGGGAATTATTTTTAAAGGAATGTAATCCATATAGTATGGTTGGAAAGGGAAAAGTACCTAAAGCATCACTCATCAATTTCACATTTGGTCTGCATCAAATTTTTATTTATTCTGCTGAAATGAAAAAAGGGATTTTGATGAGATGTGAAAAACTTGAGAATAAGCATGACTCTTCTGTGACAACATAAAATATTTATTTTCCTTTTCATTTTATTCACATCTATTCTCTCTGAGGATGTTTACAAGCTGAACTCAGCTCTGTAAACCTTTTCACTTCAAACAGTTAAAATCTTGAATTGTCTTTATCTTCTTGAGAAAACACTATATGGTAAGAGAATTAAAACACCATTGCAGCAAGAAAGATTTGGAAATAGCAAAATAAAACCTTACTGCATAGCTCCTTTGACAGGCAAGTCGCCTATTTAATTAGGCAAAAATTCTTCTCAGAAAGAGCAGTGAGGCAGTGGCACAGGCTGCCCAGGGGGGTGGTGGAGTTGTTGTCCCTGGAGTTATTCAAGAAACAAGTAGACATGGCACTGAGGGATGTGGTTATTGGGCATGGTGGGGATGGGTTGGTGGGTGGACTAGGTGATCTTAGTGGTCTTTTCCAACCTTCATGATTCTGTGATTCTAATTAGACAAGATGTATAATGAGAGAAGTATTTATTTACAAACATTTAATATAAAAGTTCGCTTATTTGAAAGCAATTTCTGTAATACAAATAGAAGAAAATATTTAATGTCCCAAATTTACTTTCATTAGTTTTTATATATGACTTCATATGGGTCAAATAAAGCAACATTTAAATAAAGTTGAAATGTGGAAATTTAAATTATTTAGGTGAGTCCATATAATGCCGTCATAGGACCAACAATTGTTTCAAGTATTTCGTAAAATAAATGATTACAGCTTCATGTATTATCCAACCTTGAAAAATATGGCTTCTTCAGCGAGTTTATGAAGAACGAAACAAGATCCACCAGTGATGCTTAATTGCCTATTTATGTGTTCAAACTCTGCTTTTTAAAGGCAACATATTCATGATGTCCTGGAATATCAGTGAGATAAGAACTGAGGCTATCTGGTAGATTTTAATACAGGCTTAGATCTCAGTTTTCAGCAAACGGCTTTCAAACCTCCTGTGTTACGGCCTGCAGCATGTTTCCAACATCTTAACCCCACTGTTCCCTTTCACCTTGCACATTCCATCACATTAATCTGACGAATTTTACATTGAAATTTTAACATATAGATGGATATAATGAACCCAAGATGTTCTTATTTTCTCTTATGACTGCTAATTATTTGGTATTATGCCTCCTAATGTGGAGTACAGAAAAACCTATCTCTTCTGTGCTATGACGAATGGCCTGTTTACTTGCATTCCTTCAAATACTGTCTATTTAAATTACTGGGAACAAGACCAGGAAGACATAATACTCTGTTTGCCAGTTTTAATAGCAAAATTGTTTAGACTTGAGAAATATCTCATTGTCTATGAATCCATTAAAATATCCATCACTGCATGCGTCTTGTTTCTCTCCCAAAGCAATACAGCCTGTATTTCTTCATTTCTATTTTCCTTTAAAGACTATTATTGTTTATATGATCTTGTCAATCAAGGTGTTTATTTGACTTGCTGTAAGTGTCATTTTTCTTCCATTTATTAACTTCTTGTGTTGTTTGAAATTGAAAGACATCTGCTTTCTCTTTGCAATCTTGATGCTGTCAGACCACTTAAAGATGTTGGAAAAGGAAAAAGCAGAGCATTCATATCTCTCCTGAATTTATTTATTTATTACACTTCATAAACCTACTGAAGTGCATTGGGGACAAATAAGCCTTTCCCTCCTCTCTAAGAACAAATATTGTTGGTTTGCTTTGCTCTTTTTCTCACAAGCGTAAAATTCATTTGCATTATTGCACTGTGTACAGCGTATATTTCTGTAACATTTATCCAACTTCCATGGTAAGAAGTTTAATATTTATTGTATGTTCACAGTGATATGCCTACTGTGTTTTCATGCTGTAGGGATTATGAAACTGTTGAACTAATAAAATGTAATTAATAGAATGTTACCGTTTAAACTATTTCCCAGGTACATCTACCTTTATGGAAGCATTAGCAGCCAATGGTACAACCAACATACAGACTTCTGTGACAGGAGTGACAGCCAGCAAGCGGAGGTTTATTGACGACAGGAGAGATCAACCTTTTGATAAAAGGCTGCGGTTCAGTGTGAGACAAACAGAGAGTGCATACCGGTACAGAGACATTGTTGTCAGGAAACAAGATGGATTCACGCACATCTTGCTATCAACAAAATCATCTGAAAATAATTCACTAAATCCAGAGGTCAGAACAATCCTGATTTGGGAGGGGGGAGAGAGGTGGCAAGGGTGCAGAAGGAATTATAACTCTCTGCCTTATTTGTACCTCTTATTCAGGCACAAACACACTAAATGAGATTTAGGTTTTTGCTTGCAGGTTGTTATGCATCCAATTGACTTGTAGGTTGATTCACTTGAGGGTGTTAACTTATGTTATCTGAACGTTTTGATGTATTGTATTCTCTAATAAATGTGGAGATCACTGAAGTGCAACTCAAAGCAAACTTTAGTCTGAATCAAGGTTCTTTTCCTCTGAACTGGTTGCATGTGCCATCTGCTGTCCAAATTACAGAAATGCTGAATTAATTCTATAGTTAAAGATAACATCTAATAAATTTTTTCTTAATGATTTCATTATCTCACTCTGATTATGTTTACAAACACAAAGCTAACAGTGGCAGGGCTTTCAGTTGTTTTGCTTTTTGTTTTTTAAATTTTCTTATATTTGAACAATAAAAAAAACTTTATAAATAATAACTTTTCTAATATGATGATTGGATTCTAAGGAAAAATGAGGATTTCAAAGACTGAGATTTTTCATGACAAAGGGGAAAGAACAGCATGCTACTTTCTAATGTTACAATAAAAGTACTTTAATGAATTTTTAATTCTTTTTTTTTTTCAGGTAATGAAGGAAGTCCAAAGTGCACTGAACACAGCAGCTGCAGATGACAGCAAACTCGTGCTGTTCAGTGCAGTTGGTAGCATTTTCTGCTGTGGTCTCGATTTTATTTATTTTATACGACGTTTAACAGATGATAGAAAAAAGGAAAGCACTAAGATGGCAGAAGCTATTAGGTATGTAAACATATCTTCAGTCATCTGAGCGGGTTTTTTTCATTATCTAGTCTGTCTTGCTTTATCTTTTCTATTTCAAAAGCCTCTAATTCAACAGTACCTCAAACATTCACCTGTTATGTGATAAGCGTGCAGCACTTCTTTATACTCCCTGTCCATTTCTATCTGAGTTGTTATAGTTGAATAGTGTTGCATCACTATTTATACTATTAAAATTTAACTACGGAAATTAGTATTATGATAAAATTTATCCAGTTGAAGCCAATTTTAGAAGACTTCAACAGCCATATGCTTTCAGGAAAGGTAACTGAACATACAGAAACGCAAGATGATTGTGTTGATAGTGACTGAATGATTAACAGTATAGTTGATACCGAGCAGAAGCATTATGGATATTTTAGTAGTGAACTAGTAGTGAATAAGTCAATACTAGTTACCTGTTGTGGTTGAACCCAGCAAGCAGATGAATGCCTCACTGCCTTTTGCTCATTCCCCCACATCTCAGTGGGATGGGGAGAAAATAGGCAGGAGGAAAAAAGGTAGAAATTGTGGGTTGAGATTAAAAACTATTTACTTAGACAGAAAAGGAAGAAAAAAATAACAGTAGTGGTAACTTATACACATATACACAACCATAAACTAGAAGAATGTTTATGGAAAAATGTATGGATCTTGCATCCCCAAGTACAGGGAAGCAGCTTATCATCTGAACAGTTTTCTATGGCCTGAGATCTTGCAGTAACTCCTGCATACTTCCAGAATAACTATATTCCTTCAGACACCTATGTTCAGTTGCTACTGTGCTGTATGTGTCTAAACTTTAAAAAAACAGGTGGGGGGTAGGGGGAGGCTTTACTCATAAATTTATGGAAATCCCCCATACAATATCTAAAACTGAATTGAAAAGACACCTGTCATTCAGATCAAAAGATTGTTTCACAAGTGCTGATTCCTATATGCTCACCTGAGAATTTAATAATCATGCACCTGCACTAAATATGAACAATATTATCTTTATGTATTAGACCTATTAACTATGTGAGGGAGCTGGGCTTGTCCAGCCTGGAGAAGAGAAGGCTGTGACGTGATGTCATTGCAGCTTTTCAGTACCTAAAAGGAGCCTATAAACAGGAGGGGAATCAACTCTTTGAAAGGGTAGATAACAGTAGGACAAGGGGAAATGGTTTTATGTTGAAGGAAGGAAGATTTAGGTTGGGTATCACAGGGAAGTTCTTCACTATGAGAGTGGTGAGGTGCTGGAACAGGCTGCCCAGAGAGGCTGTGGATGCCTTGTCCCTGGTTGTCCCTGGGGTTGGAGATTCATGATACTTGAGGTTCTTTCCAACCCAAGCCATTCTATGATTAACTAAGAAATATCAGTATTGTACTTGTGAATTTGGAGTCTCCCTCCCTGTCCCCCAACTTTTATGCATGCATACTTTTATTGGAACTGGGATGATTGTGTTTTTGTGTTGATAAGTATGAGAATACACAATTGTAACTTAGTATGACCCCATCAACTAAGAGAGAGAGGCTGTGTGAGGCACAAGATTTTAACACATATCAAGGTTGTTAAATGCACAGCTGTTCTATAATTGTGCTTTGTTGAACTGGGAGAAGTATCAGACTTTCATGGGATCACAGAGTGGCTGAGGTTGGAAGGGGACCTCAGGGTTCATCTGGGTCCTTCAGCAGGCTGCCCAGGACAACGTCTAGACAGGGTTTTGAAGTTTGTGCCCATTGCCTCTTGTTTTGTTACTGAGAACCGCTGGAAAGAGCCTAGCTCTGTCTTCCTTGCAGCCTCCCTTCAGCTGTCTGTATACATTGATAAGATCCTTCCCACCCTGAGCCTTCTCTTCTCCAGGCTGAACAGTCCCAACCTTTCCTCATAGAAGATAAGCTCCAGTCTGTTAATCAGCTTTGTGGCCCATTGCTGAACACTGTCCAATATAACACTGTCCAATATAACCCTGTCTCCCTTGTACTTGGGAGCCCTGAACTGGACACAGTATTTTAGGTGTGTTTTTCCTCATGCTGAGGAGAAGGAGCACTTCACTCAACCTACTAATGACACTCCTCATAGCGCGGCACACAATATCATTCGTCGTCTTTTCCATGAGGCAAATGTCCAACTTGGTGTCCACTGGGACTGAGTCTTTTTTTCTGCCAGGCTGCTTTCATTGGCCTCCTGAATGAATTAGTGCATGGGGCTGTTGCTTCCATGCTGGACTTTGCACTCCTTTTTGTTGAACTTTGTGAGGTTCCCGTTAGACGTTGCTCCAGTCTGTAGAGGTCTCTGGATGGCAGAACAATATTGTAGCAAGGCTTTTTAATGGTCAATAAGCTTTCTGAGAGTACACTAACCCACCTAGGTCACAAATGAACTTGAACGTGACTGGACTGAGAACTTAGCCCTGGGATATAGGGCTGGTAACTGGCCTCCAACTAGACTTCGTACCACTGACCACCCTTTGGGCCCAACCATTCAGCCAGTTTTCAATCCACCTCACCATATCCATACTTCATCAGCTTCTCTGTGAGGGTTTTATGGGACATGGTGATGAAAGACTTACTGAAGTCTAGGCAGACGATATCTACTGCTCTCTCCTCACTGGCAAAGCTAGTCACCTCCATAGTAGGTTATCAGGTTGGTTTTGAAAGTGACGTTGCTATAGAGATTAATTATTAGAGATCTCAAGGGCTGGTATATTTTGCTTTTAATACATGAGTGCATGTTCTTGTTTTTCTTCAGGAATTTTGTGAATACTTTTATTCAGTTTAAGAAGCCTATCATTGTAGCAGTAAATGGCCCAGCCATTGGACTTGGAGCATCTATATTGCCTCTGTGTGACGTGGTTTGGGCTAATGAGAAGGCTTGGTTTCAGACACCATACACTACTTTTGGACAAAGTCCAGATGGATGTTCATCCCTTACATTCCCCCGGATAATGGGCCTGGCTTCTGTAAGTAGCTTGCAGGGCAGGGGATGACAGCTTCACAATACAGTTGTGAAACTTTATCCAGTGATTTCACGATCTTTTAAGCTTTGCTGTGCTATCTTTATTATTCTTTCTCTCTTGAAAACCTTTCATGAGAAACCAGTATTTATAGGTTCTCTGCTGTTGCAACTTAGCTTACAACTGAAGGCACCAAACAACCAGTGTGAGACCTAATCCCCATCATGGGTACCCTTAACTCTTTTGGTGGCAGAAGGGGAAGGTGTGTACCTGGATACATGCTCCCAGCTGAGGTCTTAAGAAGACCAGCCAATGGTGTCTTGCATTCAGCACAGCATCAGAAAGTGTAGTAAAGAGTACACTTGTCTGTGCTTATGTTGCAGATCCCTGTATCACCAACTATCAGCAGTCTTATGCTAATATGCAAAATAGGTAAATCAGCTTTCATGCACTCATTCTCAAAAAGTTTTGTTGAGCTTCCCTACTTTATGGATCTCTCCTGATGTTAAATGAGTGCGTTATGCAGGAAATACTTGGTCCAAGTCACCCCTGCAAATCTTTTTTTTCTCATCTAAATTTTAGCTTTGTATTTTGTTTGTACGGTTTTACTGGCTTGAAATAACTGATAATGCTTTGCATTGCTGCTGAAGCTATAAGCCACATTATTTAAGTTTTTCTTTTTTCCTGTTTTCCAATCAGAAAAAAGAATTGAATGTAAAAAAGAAAATGCTACTTAAAATGTTCTTACCTACATTATTTTCATGTTGTTTACTTTTTTTATACTGCATTCCTTGAAAACTTGGACCTACATCCCATTGCAGTCAAAACTGAATAGTAACAGTGTGAAACAAGCACTCACAGCTCTGTGTTTTTTTCCTAAGTTACTTTTTATTATAAAATCCAATTTTCCCCCACAGGCATTTATTGATTTTAAAAATACATATTTTTAACATGTTTAAAGCATCAGGTTGAACAGATCTCATAACTAATTAATTGCGTGATGTCTGGATTTAGTGAGTAGAAGGGAACAGAAAAGGTAATTGAAACAGGTTAATAGTTATGAGTATATTTAATATATTAGCATGTTACAACCTACTGATTGTTCCTTTCCCTTTTTATTTGGACATCAATCCATTCATCCATTCATCCATCCATTCCATCCATCCTCGTCCTTTAGAGTGAGTCCTGTGGTTGTTACTTTTTGTTTCTTCAGAACTTTCATAAAAACACAAGCTCTTCCCTAGTGTACTCTTTCATTTGCCTTTGTGAATGCTCTCATTCTTAAATCTAAAGATCTAAATACAAAGCTTCTAGTGCTAATAATACTGTATTATTCCATAGCTAAATGCATTTTCCAAGGGAAAGTCCAAACTGCTGCTTTCATACTATCATTGACCCTTTGCAGTACAGCAGTGTCAATGCTGTGCAAGGCAAAGTTGGTCTTTAATCAGTGGGTTTTGTGAAATATATTCAGAAGCCACATTGGAAATTTCATTAAAGCAGCATGCTTCCCAGAGAAGTCAGCAGAAAAAAGAGGCAACAAGCAGGAGATGACAAACATTTGGGGGGGGGGGAAGTTATACAAAAGAAGGGGGACCTCTGTCTGCTTTGAAATTTGTTTTACAAATGTATGGAAACAGATACCAAGTAAGTCCCACACATAGCTCTTGTAGGTTGGTTTCATTGCATTCTTTTTATCAGCAGCACCTAGTAAAAATCTTCTTATAGGGCAAGATTGTTGGAAATACCTTCACTGAGTGGGTCAGTCTCAGCAGCTGAGCAGTATGTCATGTAGAATTTTTTCCTAGAATATGGTTGATGTGAAGCTCATTACTGCAGGAAATTTGAAGTACAGACTTGGGATTCAAAACTGATTCTGTATTGGGAATACTAAGAAATTTAGAAGGATGCTTAAGCTCTGCTTCCGAGTTCTGAAAGCAGATCTGTAATAGAGGTTGTGAAGTCTGTTTGGGAAGCCCTGTTACTGTGTGTCTGCTGTGGAGTTCTTGCTCTGTTTTTTCTGGTTCTGGCCATAAAGCACAGGAGCTGTGTGATCAAGTTCCACACACTGGCTTTTTTTTCAGTCAGTCTCCAGCATGCCAGCACTATGTCTTAAGCTTTTGTATCATACATGGGGGATTCATATTTCCTGGAGGCTGTAGTCTACATCAGTCAGGATCTTCAGCACTATAGGGAGCTGCCTCTTAGCAGTGCGTGGGAGAGTTGAGGTGCTCTGTGGTATCTGGGCTTGTGTGGAAGTGCCTTGATGCACTTTGTGTTGAAAGAGGGAAACCGAGACCAGCAGATGTCTCAGTGCTGTATGGCAGTTCCTCAGTGAAAGGAGAAGTATGAAACTGAGTTAATGAATATGAGAATTGGTCATGAGAATGTGGTGTTAATGAAGTATTTTTATCATCTTCATTTCTATGGCTGTATTTTATTTCTTGGGAAGTAGGCAACAAGTGTGCTAAATTGCAGAGCAAATATGTGGTCAGATGAATAAAACTTGTTTGGCAGTGGGTCTCCAGCATACAATATGTATAAATCTAAAGATTCCCCTTTGAAATCTGTCAGCTGAGATCACTGAGTGCGCATTTCATGTGAGGTTTTCTGCTCATGCTGTGCAACAGCTTGCAGAAATAAGATAATTGCACCACTAGTGCTTGTTGTCTTCACATTCAGGAGAACAGTGTCTTTGAAAATAATAATGATTATCTTTCCTAGCAGTCATTTTTTACCTCATCACTTAAGATCTATGTGAAGAATACGTAACTGACTAGCTGACTGACTTAAAGTGTTAAATTTCCTAACTGCCAGTAGATTGTCTTCACATCTTGATCAAAATCATTACTAAGTATCTTTCAAAATTGAATTTAAATTTCTAAATATTTTTTCCTCCATTTTCTATTTTTTTCAGTCAAAATTATGTCTATCACTGATTTTTGGCTTGCATTACAAGTCAGTATTGTTTGTGTGTGATCCAGAAAATTAGAAGATAGATATAATTATGATGATAAATCTTGTGTAGTTAAGCTTGATGGAACCTTTCACAGAAGGTATTACTAACAGGGATATATAACTTATATGTCAAAGATCCTAGGAAGCATTCCTTTTCACAAGCCAACTGAGCAGGGGGTCAGTAACTGAACAGCCTCATGTTCCAAGTGTCCAGTGATGGTTTTGTCATATTTTCAATGTAATTAGTCATTAAAAAACAGGAAGGCTGATTTTTCAAAGTTGATGATTACTCTGAGCTTTTAATCTTCACTGGCTGTTTCTGTGCAGATATCAAGGCAAATACAAAGTTTAATATTATATAGTTTAATTGTCTGTAGAAGAAACTTCATTAAGAGAGATACATAAACATATAGGGTCACGTTTAACAGGGAAGCTATTAAACAGTCAACTGTGTGATTGGAAATCAATGAATTCAACGAATTTTACAGAGATTGTTGTATAAAATGTATTGTTCTTCTGTTCCTTTATTAATGTTTTTTTCAATGCATAAGGTCTTCCTAAGATTTTGGGTTTTGATTGTTTTTGGTTGTGTTTTTTATTGTTGTTGGGACTTTTTGTTTGTTTATTTGTTTAATTCCTTCCAAAAAGATTCCTCTATCAGCTTTGGAAAGAATTAATCAGTTCAATATTAATTTTCTATGACTTCAAACAAAAAACAGCTAATATTCCCATTCACATGCCTCAGTGGGTTTTGGAAATTGAACTCCAAAAGATGAACCATCTATTTCAAATGTTGCATCATAAATGAAATGCTACAGTGCTGGAGACATTTGAGACAGGCTCAAAATAAACCATATATATATATATATATATATTTAGGTTTCAGAATGTTCAGTATTTTAAAAAATAATAATTAACAGCAGCCCATTTAATTATGCTTTTCTTTCAAGATGAGCAGTTCACAGGAGGTCTACCACCAGAATTGGGTTATCTTTATAACTTACAGATAAATGTAGGCTTAAAAATAAATAATAATAATTTTTTAAAATATTTTTAAGCAAGACTTAATTACTGCAAGCATTGCTATCATGGAAAGCAAGGTGATGAGTTCATTACAGACCTGTCAGCCATTGTAACCTAACTATATGTACCATATGCTGCAGTACTCCAAGAAAGCTGAAGCTTACAATACACTCATGAATAGGAAATGACAAAAGCCATCTACACATTTCACACTTAATCATAGACCTCTATTTCTACAACTACTGAAGCTGTATAGTCAACACCAGTGACCAGCTCAGCTGTAGGCAACTCTTTGTCTTTAAAAGCAGGAAGAGCCATAGTCAAACTCTTTCAAATAGCGTAGGCATTTTTTCTTTTCTTTTGAGCATTTTTCCTTTGATGAGTTCTGTCTCATTACATTTCATACCAGAAGTAACTTTTTATCCCTTCAGGCCAATGAAATGTTGTTCAGTGGAAGGAAGTTGACTGCGCAGGAAGCTTGTGCCAAAGGACTGGTCTCTCAAGTGTTTTGGCCAGGAACGTTCACACAAGAAGTAATGGTTCGAATTAAGGAACTGGTGACATGTAATTCAGTTGTAAGTGTCCTTAATTTAACTACAAGCAATTTACTATAAGGAAATAAATAGAAATTAATGTATTGTTAGACTGCATCTTTACATTCTCCCCCTCAAAAAAAAAAAAGACAAGGCTTACACTCAAGTATAGTATTGACTATTAATGGGCTTTTTTTATTTTAATTTTTTGTTGTTGTTCTGAATTTAGAGTTCATCTGCTTTTTTTTAAACCATATGCTGTAATATGTTGTGGTTAAGAACACTGCACTCTTTAAGAATATACTTTGTTTTTAACTTAAGTATAAATGATATAGTAGATAAGTCCAACTTATTCTAATTAAGTTGTCCTAGTCATAATTTGAGTTGTAATTTAAATTATCAAGGAAATTGGTAACTTAAAAATTGTGTGGCAAAAACGCAGTTTTTGACAACAGGTTAAGCTTTCAGTTTTTACTGGTGATGCTTGTGGTGCTTATGTCTGTATGTGTTATGGCAGTTCTGCATGATGGCTGCAACCACCACAACCTGATGCTTCCTTAAGGAAAGAAATACAGTACAAAGCAACTGTTACATGCATTAGATAGTATGGATTTTGAAAAATAATAAGTGACAAAGCCAACTTTTTTTTTCCAGTCTGTTTTAAATGTTGTTTAAAGTAGAATGTCTGCCTGTTTATTAGAGCAGTTTTGGATAACAGTATTACTGTTAACCTTCACCAAAATGAAATTAGTTTTCTTTCTCACATTATCACTATAAAATCATGCACATGTAGTACATGAATAGTTTGAAAAGCTCATTTATGAATAACATCAGAATCTGTTTGTATATAAATGTTTGTATGTAAATGCACAAGTTGCTCACAACTGAACAAACTCTTCTTTTTCTGGTGTAGGTACTTGAAGAATCCAAAGCTCTAGTACGTAATATTATGAAGGTGGACTTGGAGCAAGCAAATGAAAAGGAGTGTGAAGTTTTGAAGAAAATCTGGGGCTCAGCACAGGGGATGGACTCAATGTTAAAATATCTGCAAAGAAAAATAGATGAGTTCTGATGAGGTGCCCATTGACACTGGAATTGTACTTCTTGGACATCAGGGCAAACAGAATATGCCCATTTTAAAACCTATATAAACTCACCCCTGGCTCAGCTTGGGAACAGTAGTAAATCCCTCCTCCCCCCCCAGTTTTATTGTCAAGGGGTATGAAAGTACTGTATCACTTAAATTTGAACAAAACTCCTTTTTCCCTGATTGTTGTGTGTGTATATGTGCACACGCATAAAGTATGTGTGTGTGCACATATACATAGCTTTTATGTATACAGAATGCAATGTGTGACAGCATGTACATAGACACATGCACACAGAAGGTAAACAATGACAGAGTGCACTACCAACCACCTCCATAAAGGCTCTAGTTTGGGTCATTGTTGGCTAGTACTGTATCAGACAGAGAATGGATTATTTTCTGCGTGGCAGGGAAGTCTGGAATAATGCTTTTCTTTTATCATTAGAATACAGAATTGAAACGGGTATTAGCCAGCCCTTACTTTCACTGCCCAACAAGTCAGCTAAGGTGTAAGGCACTGTCTCAGAAGGTTGACATACCTCAATGGAACATCCTAACATTTTTCAGATGAACTCCTTAAATCAAAAATATCACCCAAAAGAGAGCATGCTCAGGATTAATGCTAGGGAAATACTTTGCCCTTTTCAGGGGAGTGGCATAGAGGGGTGGGAGGAAGAGAGCAGGAATGCATTTAATTCTTACCCAGATAACGTGAAGAAACCACTGTTTCATGGGGAAGGGCAATGAGGGGAAGCAGGGGGAATGTGGAGGGGAAAGGAAAAAAAGACAAAAAAAGCTTGTTTTGCAGTATTAGTGAATCACTGAATATCTATGTATGAATATCCTAAGTTATAAGTTAGTTTTAGTGGGTTTTCAAATAGCCTTTTTTTTTTTTAATAACTACATAAGTGCTTCTGTTGCTGGGTGAGAATACTACTTTATATACAGTTGTTTGGTTTTTATTTCCTATTTGCTGGTTTAATTGATGTATTACACCAAAAATGCATTTTATGTTCATAAATTTTAGGTTCACTTAGAATATATTATTTAATAAGTTAAAATTCTTTTGGCACACTATTAAGTAAAAAAAAAACTTTTAAAAAAACTACCTTATATTAGATGTTTAATGTTCTTTGTCTACGCTTTTTTATTATTTTAAATATACACTATATACAGTATGGTGTAAAAGAGTGCCCTGTGTAAATAGACCTATTTTGCATTCCTTTCAGGAGTGGTTATTGATTCCTGACTGCAGATATCTATTATTATTTGGGTATCTGTGCTTGCAATCTTATTGAATGTATTATGAAGAATGGAATAGAAATCAAACCTTATTTTTGTACAGTTTTGAAGTTTTTACTTGGAACTGACCCACCTCCCCTTCCCAGTGGAGAGCTGTACAGTGTGTAAATCTGCCTTTACCTTGGATTGGTACAGTATTTTTGCATCTGTGGGACCTACTTTTTTGTTCTAGTAGTTTGAACTATATATAAACTGTACAATCTGTAAAGTTTTTATAGAATAAATATTCAGCTGTGAAAACTGGTTAAATAAAACTAATATTTCTTAACACATTTTAAACGTGGTTCTCACACAGTTGTCTTCTTCAAAGGCAGTTCTGATGTTAGAGGAAGTATTGCTTAAAACTTGAAAACTAGTGACCTCATTATTCATGTTTTACTCTGTCAGATGTAAATAAGCTCTTACTTATTCCTTTCACAGAATGGCCAGGGTTGGAAGGGACCTCAAGGATCATGAATTTCCAACCCCCCTGCCCAGGCAGGGCCACCACTCATCCCACCTAATGCTAGGCCAGGCTGCCCAGGGCCCCATCCAGTCTGGCCTTGAACACCTCCAGGGATGGGGCATCCACAACCTCTCTGGGCAGCTGTTCCAGCACCTCACCACTCTCTCTGTAAATGAAAGAGAGAAAAATCAATTGGTTGTGGTAAACTGTACCGACATTTTCTCTGAGAAGAGGTTGATAATATCTCAGGACAGCCCTTTTCTGGCACTTTGGAAGAGGCATTTGAGCAGAGATTGCAGCTATTCTGGCTTGAGAATCATACAGGAGAATTTCTCTGATACAGCAAACTGCACCTAGAGATAGGTAGAGGAATTACACCAATCAGAGGTTAGTCAATTCAGATGGAAATTGAATTCTGCTTCATTTTGTGCTGTTACTGTCAGTCAGGCTGTTCCTATGCCTACAATTTGCATATTCAGCTGCAAATAAATTGGAAAAAATCCTTAGTTCAGACCAATTTCTGTACACAGTAACCAACTTCACACTTATAAATTGTGCTTCCATTCATAAATGTACATATCAGCACATTGCACTACACAGATACTGCTTCTATAGGAACATACTGTACAGCCCCATATAGGTCAGAAAGCACCTTTGGTGCCCAATAGTTACTGATGTGCAAAATAAGTATTTTCAAGTTGCCTTCACAGAAGTCAGGTCTTTGTCTAGCCTGGCTCACCGCAAATACTTGCACTGTTCCACATAAACTTGCACTACTGCATAGATAAATCAGGTTTACCTTCCTGCTGCTTAAAGGCAGCTGCAGCCACTGGGGGACTGACTGGGCCCAGGAGAAGGGTGAGAAGGGCTGCTGAAGCCAGCGTTTCTTCAAAGGTGCCTCACTTGGAGTCACAACCTCCCAGAAGCAGTTGTACATGAAGGCTTCTTTTCTATGCTGATTCTAGTGCTGATGTGTAAACAACTTCTGAGCATCACGAAGTTGTTGGACCCAGGTGCAAAGCAGGATCATAGAAACAGTATTTTTCTGAATGCTTGAGAGAACTTCCCTGTGGTGTTTCCCAGCTTATTTTCGTAATAAGGAAAAATAAAATCTACACTTCTTTCAACCTCTAAGCATGAAGACAAATCATGAAGCCTGCTTTGATGTCAGGCATTCAGCCATTGGTCAGAGAATTGGGAATGATGGTACTGGAGTATAAGTTTGGGACAGGACTGAGCCAGGCTGAAGCTGACTCCTGAGGCTCCTATCAAGATTGTCTGCTACTTTGAGTGCATTGCTGTACTACACAATCAATGAACGCAAAACAATGGAGAAACATTGGTGCTGAAACTTAAAAGTAGAACAGGGGCTGTGGTAGTACAGTGTAGGCATCTCTCTATGATGGTCTAGTTCTTCTGAAGTAGGTATGGCCACAGGCACTAGAGCAAACAGCAAATGGTTAAGTATTGGCAATTGAGCTGGAGTAAGTCCTCCTCACATAAGACTGCATTACATCCGAGTTCATTTTGAGTTAAATAACACTACTTTTCTCCTGTCAGGAAACAGGACTAGATAAGCCAGAGGTTGAAGAACATACTTGGAACTGGTAGAAAGCCACACACATACTCTTCTCTTGTGTCACTTTGAGCAGAAATAGAAAGCACAGCAACATTTTTGCTCTTTGTAAGTTAACCTACAGCATACAAAAGGTATTTTGGGGTAAGCTGAAGAGCTGAACTCACCTAGATGTCTTTCCCTTGTTCCAAGTTCCAAATTTGCCCAGACAGCATTTAGAGCAGTTTCCTTCAGAGAGTCCTTGGCTGTATTGCTGCTGTCATTGCTAAAGGGTATTTTTCTCTGTACTTTAGAACCTTGTTCTGAAAACAAGGCTCAAGGGAATTAAATCACTTTGTTAGGTGAGATCCATTTCTTAAAGCTATGCTTACTTGAAATTAATTGAAACACACAATACTGCAGCTATAACTGCCTCCCCTTGCACCGATACAAATTCATCATGCCTTTACCCAAAGGATTGGACTGTAAACAGCTAGAGAATGTGGCAATAAACAGCATTTCTGGATGAGAGGATGAGAGACCTTCAGTAAAATGGGTCAATGACCTACCTCGGTTTGTTGGTTGAAGTTGAGGTACTTCATGTTCTTCTGGGTTGTGACAAGTATGAGTAGGAGGGAGGAGATACCTCTCAACTCATTTACAGTTATCCTTATGATTTTCCATGCTAAGGAACTGCCAGCAGCTGTCAACACTCAGGCAGTCTTACCATGCTATATCAGAGGCTGAGTTGGCAACCTTAAATCATGCAGCATGAGGGCAGAGTTATGCTGAAGATGGCATACAAGTTTTTTTTTTCCTTTCCAAAGATGTAAGCATCAGGATGAGAACCGTGATACAGCACAAGACCACCACGTTGTGTTCCTGTCCTGTACAGCCCTGCATCTTTATAGAGAGAATACTTCAGTTACAGGTCTTTGCTTTTTCCTGCTCTTGAGGAACACTACTAGCAGATTGTCATGCACCAGCCTTCCAAACAAGGAAAAAAAAAAAAAATACATATATATATATATATATATATATATAAATACACTGTGAGGCACTCACTCCCAGGATGAAGAGCAGTTTGACATTCTGAAGTGCAGTGCAAAACACAGCAATGGAGATGGAGTTCTTTTAGTCCTACTCATCAGTCCTGCAAAGGGAAAAATAAATAAGGGGAATTGGAAACCACATAGACAGAGAATAAGTACTTAAAGCAGCTGCATGGAGAAACAAAGGAGTAGCAGTTACTCTCCCTTAGATCCTTATTCACACCACCCTCAGGATTAGAGGAGGTGAACAGGAGGTGTACATATACCTGTTCAGTACATCAGTGTAGAGTACATTATCAGTACATATGCCTGAGCTCATGCAAACTACAAGCCTCATGTTTGCAGGACCTGGTCCTCATGGGAGACTCCAACTACCCTGATATTTACTCGAAGTATAACATGGAAAGGAGAAGGCTTGAGCTCGTGAACTCATTGATGTATGTAAATACCTGAAGGAAGGATGTAAAGATGACAAAGCCAGGCTGTTCTCCACGGTCCAGTGCCAGAGCTGATGGGCAGATGCTGTGGGCACAAGCCAAAATACAGGAAAGTCCATCTGAACATCAAGAAATGTTTTCAGTGCAAGAGTGACTGAGCACTGACACAGGTCTCTTGGAAAGGCATGGGATCTTCAGAAGCCTCCTGGACACAGACCTGGACAATCAGCCTTCAGTGGGCCTGCTTGAGCAGAGGCTTAGACCGGGTGTCTTCCAGCTGCATCTTCCACTCTCAACTATTCTGTGATTCTCTGGAAGGAATAAAAATACTGGTATTCATTTTCCACCAATCCAAGCATCATCCACAATCACTATGGCTAGGGTTGCAATGGCTATAACTTTAGACTAAACACATGCTAGAAACTACATAATTCTGTACAGAGAAATCAGTTCATAATGCTATAATAAAACAGTATTTCTATGTGAAGTTCACTGAGCTTGTCAGGCTCAACTGGGATCTTTGTCAAACAGCTCTATTTTAAAAACAAAAACTGGAAAACCTGCTAAGTCAGGAACAAATAAAACACATACATACATAAATCACACTTTCACTCCATCATATAAATGATAAAGTAAGAAACAGTTTTCTTTCAGTGCTAGTTCACATATGGTCTATTGCATCACAGGACTGTGTCATAGAAGCATGCTGTGATCAAATGTCAAAAGGCAGAAAAATGTTCCCTTTCATCTCATGACCCCTCTGCTGTTCAGGAAGGATTATTTTTATTCTAAGTAAGGTTAACAACAAAGCAAAGCTAGGAGCTTCTAAACAAGATGGCCCCTTGAATCAAAAGGATCAAAATAAGAAAGCAAATGGAAGCAACACTGCCCACCCAAGCAAAAGCTTTTTGCTTGCTTTGTAGGCCTGATGACCAGTGATGTCAAACAGGGGTCTGCAAACTGAGCTTTGTGATCTCAGTAGCTGAACTGTGACATCCACAGAAGCAGCTGTAAAATCAGCACTACATTGGCTAAGAAAATTAAAGTTACTCATTTTTGAGTGTTTATGAAAGAATTATGTGTTCATTTATGCCAACATGAAGTTACATTCAAGAAACAAATACATCAGTACATCCAAAAGGCAGAGAAAGTCAGGTTTTGATTCCAATTTTCATAAAGCAAAATGAGTTGCTGAATTTTCAGAAACAACTAATACAACAGCCTGTAACACTGTGCATATATAATAAAAACAATACACCATATCAAAACTGTACAGAGGTCCCCTGATAAAAGTTGATCATCTAAGAATGAAAGTAATTTTGCTAGTATCTAGAAAGGCACACACAGAATCTGACTTTAGCTGGGAGACTTCAGAAATCCTCAGCAGGATTTTGTACCCCTCCAAGAAGTTGCAAGAACATCAGAATAAAGATCTTTCACGTCTGTTTTTCCTACCTCCTAGCAGCAAGACCAAGCTTTCTCAAGTGGGGTAGAAGAGTTTCAACCCCAAGAAAGGGAGGCACATTCTCACTGCTCTTTGTGAGAAGACTGCATTTGTCAGAGCTGCAGAGCCTCTGACTGCTTCTCTATGGGAAACCCCAGGGGAGAAGTAAGGATCTCCTCAGAACTGACATGAAATTGTTAAGACTATCTTGAAGAAGGAAAGAAGCAAGGCATGAGAAATCCGAGGCAAGAAGTGCAACTATTCCTAGCAATCATGGCAATTGCAGCTTTGTAAGTTAGTCTGGCCAGGTGCCCAGAATGGGTAAGCAACCCTGAACCAGCAGCACTGACAAGCATATGGGAGTTGGCACAGCTCAGGAGTGATGCAAGATGACCTCCAACTTCTCAAAAAAATATCTTAGCTACACTTCTAAGCTTTTTTTTCTAATTGTTGTTTAAATTAATAAACCTAGAATTACTCCAGGATGGTGAAGTTTGATTTTTTCCAACAGTATGATTCTATGATAGAGAAACTTTCACAAGCAGTACTAGGAACTCTGAAGGTAGATATCAGGTATCTTTTACTTGATGTCCTGTGGTATAGACAAAAATGGATGAGTTTATTTATTTATTTTTAAACAGAGGATGCTAGAACACAATTATTTCATACTGTTACCTGCTCTGCATGGGCTTTTCATGTCTAGAAAGAGTTAATTTGAACAGCAGTGTTCCTTCTGTAGCTGGAACTATGCATTCCCTGATAAGTTTGTAAGAAGACGAAAACACAAAGTCATAAGAAGTGGTGTCCATCAGTTTTAGAGAGAGAAGGGGCAGAAATCATATGATACAGGAGTCCCTGAAAGGCTGTGCATCAAATTCTTCCCTGGCTTTCTCATCAGCACTGTGTCCAGCATCATAATGTCCTTCACCACTCTACTACATCGCTATTATCCCACAGTGATCCTGAAGCAGAACTTTAGAGAAGTTCAGAATAGCTCTTACCAACAACATGCAAAACCATCTGCATCTAATGGGGTCAGAAATACCTGTATAAGGAACACAGGTGTGCTGGAATTCTGACATCTATCTTGCTTCACCTATCTGGAGTGGTACTATACTGGCAAAACCCAAGATCCTAAGATGCTTAGGCTCCTTAACTCCCATTCACACATACATAAGGTAACTCATGAGCATTGGTGGCTACGAGCTGTGGGAAATTATACTTATTATCTAATTTTAACAGGCTCATCTTTCTTAATGATCTTTTTTATAATGAGCGAATAAACAGTCCCTTGGGATCTCATTTTATTTCTCTTCAGGCCTTTTTAATTTGCTAGTTTCTCAGGCCTTGATGCCAGCTTCCCACATACTCAGAATCACATAAATCACAATTGCATCTAATTTGCATCTTTTCTAATAAGAAAAAAAACAAAGCTTATTTCTCTCTTAGTACTACGTCTTTGGACATTGTTCTGAAGTCCCATGGAGCTGCATCCAATTCATAGCAGTACAAAAGTGACTGGAGCATAGCAAATCTCTTGGTTGCCTTCATTCCAAACTCAGTTTCTTCTGCTGTTATCTTTCCCACAAGTTCCACTTGATGCCTACTAACACAATGCACAGCATGCTGGCTCTAGACTCATTGTTTATGCTACTCTTGACACTCCTCACCAGCCCCCTACCAGCTCAGTACTTTTTTTTATTCTGCTCACTCGTGCCAAACACTGAAGTCATAGTTTGAGTCTTCAGTTCCCTCACATCCCTCGCTCTTATCCTTATTCTATAGCTCACTTTTCCCTTCCCTTACTCTGACTTGACAGTGTTTATAACTCCACCTTTTTCAAATCTGTATTTACATAATGGACAGCTGTAATGTATTTTCCTTTTCCTCATCTCACTAAAACCTGGCAGCTCACAATGCTCAGTCCTCATGCATTTGCACATCTTCAGGGAAAATCTGGAGTTCACAGTGACATGGGGGTTAAGAAATATGAAGCTTATTTTGGCTCTGCCATGATTCCGACTCCTAGCAGCCAATTTGCCTCTTTCAAAATGCCATTTTTCAACAAAACCCATGGGCTTTAAGACTTTAATTCATGCCAAAACTGCATGCAGATGAGCAGGTTCCAGCCAGCTCTCATTTGCTACAAAGCCAACGTGTAATACAGCTCCATCCTTGCTTTCAAAAACCTCGTGACAGAATAATTCATGTAATAGTCCAGACTTCTCTTTGGCTAGCTCCAGTTCCCTTCCCAGAAAGCTCCCCTTAGCTCTTTACAATACCTTGAAAATGTTTTTCACTATCTCACATAATTATTGTTTTTGACAGTTTGTCTCAGAATTTCCATGCACCAACATTTTCCATCACTAAGGCAAGCCAGAGCAAGAGAAAGAGGATAAATAAGACACGATAGATTCATTTTGTACTTTGACCAGTACCTCCAAAAAGCGTTCTGTGTGACATTCTGCTGACAGCAACATCCTGAGAGCAGCTACAGGCACTCAGCACAACAGGCTATATGTCTGACCACAGGCAAGGACAAACTTTCTGAACCTTAAGAACAACCAAACAAGTTTGAAAGCACTGGCTTTGGGGGAACATTCTGAAGTGCATTTCCTTTCTCTCGGCCCCTTTTTCTATCAACAGCAAAACCTTCCCTGGAAATTTACCACGTTTGTACAAGTCTGTTTGGTTTTTTTTCTTTAACATTTGGAAGCAATGAAAGGCAGAAGTGGATTCTTTTTGCACACTACAGCAGCAATGGACACAAAACTGCTAGCGGAATATGGGCATTTCATGTTCAGCACCAGAACTGGTTAGGATTTCAGTGAAGTTCTCAGAATTTTTGCTGCTTCCCTTCCTTCCTATTCCCAAATACTGACTCCTTCAGCAAGAACACTCAAGGTTTATGCAGGAAGGTTTTAGCAGAAATCAAGTTTACCCCCATTGTAGTAAACCTGACTGTAGAGACTTCCAGACTACAAACATAGCAAAACCTCTGGGGGAGTTAAATTGCAAAAAACAAACAAAAAAAAAAAATCAGCAAAATGGAGATAAATGCAAGTCCACAAGACAACAGCTACTTATTTCTACTTAGAAATGTAGAGTTCAAGAAATATGACTTAACTCACACTCAAGGCCACACAGATCATGAGAGGACAGAGCTCAAGGGCTGACACCAGATGATTTAATCAAAGACATGCCATCCTCAATGACACTTATAAGAAAGTGAACCACAGGTAATTTACAAATTATATATATTTGGTCGGCATTCTCGTGTCATAAGAAAGCGAGGACAAGAGACCAAGATGGTTTATTACAACAGTAACCAGATTCTTGACCCTCACACAGATGCTGGCACTTGCAGGTCTTCTCTTAGAAAAGGGCAGTATCTCCTCTTCTGGTTGGACTGGGAATGGGATATATCTAAGTATGGATAGAAGCATTTGGCAGGGGAGGCTGTTGTAATTTTACCTTTCCTAATAAAACAACTAGTTTTTAAGAAATTCAGGAGGCTGTGGAAGAATATGGGAATTCATAGTTTGCACTAAATTCTTAATATCAGCCACTGTTAGGATCTCGGTTGTGTGTACAGAAGCTGTTCTGTTTTGTCCACAAGGCTCTTACTGAGTTTGAAGAAGTAAAACAGAGCAGATCCTCAACTCAGTCTTGAACTGCTCTATCTTTTTCTCAATTGCTATCTAAAAGATCTCCCTTAGGCAAAATTTATCATATTAAATCTCAGTCCAAGACCAGCTTCTAATTTGTTCTAGTTTTTTTTGCTTGTCCACCTTCACTTTTTTGTTGTTGTTACTGAAATTTAATTAGGGGGAAGGAGAGCAAAACAGCCATTTTAGAGCAGTAATCGTGTGAGCTTGCACACTTCACT